GTAAGGTGCACCTCTTTTGAACAAAAAATGACCATGAAAGTTCTCTATGATAGTAAGAAGTACTGCCTCAAAAACTTGTCACTCTTAGCTATCACCATCTGCAAGTACTACTACCAGCATATCAAAATGACCATTGGAACCCTTTCAACTAGTGACATCATACTAAGGCTTATAACTTTATCAGTGTTACATATTCAAAAAGCAATAGAATTAAAAAACATCCAAATTACCCAAAAATTGTCTTGCTAACATGTAAATACTTACTACAGTGCAAAAATTAAGTTATTGCTAGTATGTCTCTAAAAATGAATAATCTGTTTTTGGTCAAGGTATAATTTATTTKCAAAAAATGGCATACCAGGATTTACACAAATCCACACTAAAAAAGTTTATTTTTGTTTCCTCGGTAAGTCTACCAGGGCTGTAAGAATTCTTCAAGGTTTTTGGCTACCATGGATTAAAGATAGTAGAGTCCAGTGCACYGTAGCCAATTGAGCATATTTCARTAATAAGTTGGTTAGAGGGTGGTTATTKTTGGACAGAGGAAGTAATACCTTTCGCCTTGAAACAATTTTCAGGGCAATCATTGAACTCAGGCAGAGAGGAGAAGGACACACTAACAGAACGTTTGAGGTGGATACAATTTGAAACRAAAGCAATTGATAACTAYTTCCTTTTGGTTGCTGGCACAGCCAATGAGTTGTTGCGAGTCATTGCACTGAACAGTTATAAAGTTCTCATTGGTTTTTAACTTTTGGATTTAAGTACAAAATTGAAATCGAGCAATTTGGCAACGAGACATCAATTTAATTGCAGATTTTGGCGTATCCTTGCCMTGGTAGTATAATGCAAGGCGAAAAGGAATAAATCGCACAGTTTGATGGTGGAAAATGCCGAAAGAGTTCATGTAGAATACGATAATTTCTCTGAGAGTTATTCATGCGTTGAATACGTAGAGAATTTTACCTTGTCTACACTTCCAATGATTAACGATTAAATCTTCTTCGCGTCTTGAGTAGCCCCGGATTAATTCTGATACATTTCCGTAAGTCGAAGCAAATCGCCTGCCGTAGCGTAAAAGTTCAACTGACTAACACCGGGACGKGTACCTTTCTCCATACTAATCAACGTCTCCAGCAAGGTTGTTGTGCGAATATTTGGTTGTTCAGGCAGAGAAGACTTTGCTTCTCGAAGGCGCTTGTAGCTGGTGATGCAATCGTCCTTGTTTAAAAACAAGGGCAGTTGCGCACCCTTGGTGGAAGCAAAGGCCAATCTGTCCGCAATGAACAGCGGGACATCGCTCTGCGACGTCTCCAGATCCAATTGTTTCGCTTGCTCTACGGATATTTTGGAAGGAACAAGGCGGAATATGTCCGACCTATCCCCGGCCATAATTTTCGCCTCTGCCTGCTCGATCTCGGCGGGGGGTGGGGCCATTCTCATTCTTCCTCGTTTCAATACCAAAGGATACCTGCATGCGTAGATGCGTTTCCATGTTTGTTTGTTTCGTCATCAAAAAAGAGAAAAAGTTAGGAGACTGGATWTTTTCATGGGACTTTTGATTTGTCCAAACGCACAGCTGTGTTCGATCGCCAGTAAACAGAAGTCAGTCCGAGAGAGTAAATGAAGTACGAAAAGWAACGAACGAACGAAGCAACGTACATTACTTGATCTAAGGTYGTACCCTTRACGGAAGACGAAGGAATGCTATCACTAGCCACCTTAGCATCTGAATACGACATGTAAATGTCGGTCGACATTTGGGCCGAACCATCCCCACCGGTGGTTGCGACGTAAAAGACGGGAACAGTATTTAGTTTCTCTTGRATCGCGGATCGAGAGAGAGCATACGTCTTGCTTCCGGCAATTTGTTTCCCGGGTTGATCTTGCCGGGTGACCACTGAGTCGGCGATGGGGGCGGATTTCAGGTCGAATGTTCCCGCCAATGGAATCAGACTGCCAGYAAGAAAGACGGCGAGTAGAACCCCTGCAACGATGCTAGAGAAAGACAATCCAGGGCGGTCATCGGGCTCTCTCACCATAGAAAGTGTTGTCATTTTCGAGTTCTGGATCCTGGATAAAAAAGACATTGATCCAAGTCTATTGGAAGAGTTATCTCTCAAACCATCCGATATCGAAGTGGTCGCTGGTGGCTGGATTCTCGGAAATGCGAACGACGAAACATTCGATGGTGCCGTTGACAACAGAAGGACGAATACGATGTATCCATTCAAAGCATTCATTGTATTGCTGTAACGCAACATAGTATAGTTAWTACGAGTACTATGGTTCTCGGTTGTTTGATGTTCGCGCTTTTTTCCGATGCGATCGTTGGTCGATCGGTGGTCTTCTCTCGGTATCACAAGTTGATTACAAGATGATGGTGTTCGATTTGAAGTCATCGCATAAACGTCTCTCRGGATACGAGGAAAGTRCGGCTTCTATGCCATGTTCAGTACCACCCCTGTTCAGTATCGTACTAAGCACAAGTACGTACGTACGAGTACGTAGTCATATCCAACCCCGCAGTAAGCAGTACGTACAGTACAGTGGGGTGGGTAAGGTATCACACATCAAAAATTCAAGATAATTGTGGATCCATCTAGTCGAACTAGTCAAATATTCAAATCCAATAACAGGCGTGAATGAATCTGAAAATCCCTGCTTTTCCCCCCACCGCCTTCTCTTCTGCAGTAGTACCGTTACGTAGGTGTAAAAGCACTGTACTGTATTATGACTCCTTGGAGACGACAGTGAAAACAATAGCRACGAAGACCATTCACAACTGGACTTTAACTCAGCGTCTGTGTCCATTAGTGATCACGACGACAACAGAAACAGCGAATAACAGATACCACAGTAAATCTTGGCTCGAGGTCGCAATAGCTTGAAGATTTTTAASAGTAACGAAAACGAGATCAATTCTCAGATAACAACGACAATCAGAGCACTGCCGTTGCAATGATTCTTCGATCGGTTTCGACAGCTGCTGTTTTGTGCCTTGTGGCCAACTGCATGTTTTCTCACGGCTTGCCTATGCAAGTCACAATCAATCAGCGGCAATCGGAATGTCTGTATGAAACACTAAATGAAGGGTGAGCCTGCTACTATAATTTTTGAGATCCATCGCCACATGACGTAAATTGTGTAGGTTGCACCGTACTTTTAAGTTTTCCATCGTTCTTACGCTTTTATGATTTCGCCGTGAATTCTATTTTTCTCGGAATTCAGGGAAGCCGTGACCGCAAGTGTCTTCATTTTAGCCGGGAGCCAGTTGATGGCGACCTATAGTTTGGAAGGTCCGGTCACAGATCTCAGCACTGATTCAGGAATAGCTTTATATGAATCGGCGTTGGCATTTGAAAGAACTGGTGGCTCGGAGGGTAGCGAACTGCGGATTTCGGGGGAGGTCGATTTTGAACATTTGAACGATGAAATCAATGACGACGATGACGATGACGACGACGATGATGAAGAAGAAGAAGGAGACGATGATGCACCCATCGACCCAAACGACCCAGATGCCGCTCGAAAGAAACAGGAACGGCGGGATCGCCAGAGGCAAAGATATCTCGACCTGAAAAAGAAACGAGAAGCAAAAAAGTTCACGCAGCTCCAACAAATTCGACAGGATGGGGAACCCGTAACGATGACACACAAGGCCCCAAGAGATGGATGGTATCGATTTTGTGTCACCAGTAGTTGGAATCAGGTACGTAAGCCACGCAAAGTAATGCAGAAATAGACGGAGAAGTATTTGTAAAAAAGTGATCGAAAGTGTCTAATTCATCCGCATCTTTCACCCCGTCAGGTTATTGCCGAGATGGAAATGAGAAAGGAAAGTGATTTAGGTGGTCTCAACGAGGAAGGGCACGTAAGAACTTACGAAGAGCAAAAAATGATGGAGGAAGACAAAGAACTGGAGGAGGATACAGCCACCGARGAAGGTATCAAGGACGAAGACTTCCAGGAAACAAGGCAAAAGGTGAAAGATCTTCGTCGTTTGCTCAACGATATTCAATCCATGCAGCAAAAAGAACGTCGTCGTCTCACGGTACATGCTGAGACTAATGAACACTCTCACTCAAGTATGGTTCTCAACTCGTTAATGGAAACTCTTCTGTTCATGGCCGTTACGGGGTATCAAGTTTATACGATTCGAAAATGGTTCAGTGGAGCCCCAGTWCTAGGAAGATAATGATGTAATAGTTCATTGTTTAGCTGAACAAAGGGTCGATCATCATAATTAGTAACGTTTACACTTAAGAAACTTGTTTTTCTCTAAATTTRAAAACAKTATCGAATATTTGGTTGGCTGTCTGTCTGCTCTTATCAYTTCTGATGCAATATGTGTTCGCAGCGCTTCGGACGGGTAAAATATGACACAAATCTGGGATATCGCCATAATACGGAGAAAAGAGACGCTACCTGGCTTCRAAGCATCTCTTCGCTTGAAAACCAACCTGAAATTTATCAGAGAATTCGATTCTTCTTCCTCTCTCTGTGGTATGATCAGTGGATTCCTTGCTGTGATACAATTATCCTTCGGGAACTTACTTGATATATCATCAAATTACTGTAGTTAGACAATCTCAAAATTTCATATGTTGCGATACATATGTTGCGATTGCGATAGTTTACCAATTTTTATTATAATTTTAATGATCACTGGCACGACAGTGTGGCCGAGTGGTTAAGGCGATGGATTGCTAATCCATTGTACTTCGTACGCGCAGGTTCGAATCCTGCCACTGTCGACTCGTTTTTGCACGGCAAAA